TGTAGTTAGATCATGTGGTATTGGTATTCATGTAGTGCTGCTTTTGATCCTGAAGGTAATCCCTCATAATCACAAACTTTAAGGAACATTAAGATTACATTTTCTTAGTTGATGTATTTTGCATTAGTAAAAATACATAGGATTAGAAAATACACCATATAAGACTCATGTAGACATCATTCTTGCTTGTTTATATTTGACTTTGTGTTAAATATTTGGGGCTTTAGTTGTTTATAGGCCATAGGCTAGTCATTTTTAAAATAGTAGTTATGCTGGGTGTAAAATTATAGGTTAAATTTGAATGACTCTATTTTATGCCCTTTATTTCCTCCAATTTTTTTGTTTTGGAAATGAGTGTTGTTTTGTATAATGTGAGAGTCTATGTGAATAAAAAAGCAATACTCATAGGAATAGAAATTATTCCTGTAGTTTGTTTAGCTGTCTTTTTGCATATCTCTTTAATGCTGTAGTTTGCCAGAGGCTTTTTGAACTACTGGAGAGATTTTAGGTGTAATCTTATCTTCCTGTTCTAATGACACTTGTCCCGGTTAAGAAATCCTCTCTGTCAGATGAAAACAAGGAACCCAGATAAAGGTCTAGGTTTGCTTTTGAATGATAAACTGATCTGATTCTCCCCCCCCCCAACCCCCACCCCATTCCCTGCTTGTGTATGAACATAGCTTTGCAAAGGTTCAGGAGAGTATTAAATAAAGATCAAGTGGTTCTGAATTTTAAGTAATAGTAAAAAACTGGTACACCTAGTTTCTTATTAGCTTAGATTTCTGGATTGCTGGTACTCCTAAGGTAATAAGCTTGCTTTCATTTTACACCTTTTCCTTGTGAGTTTTAGCACTCACTGGGATCTGGCTGCGTTCTGATTGAGAGAGTTTTCCTTGCCACCTTTTCCGGCACTGATTATCTTTTCACCCTTATACCCAACCCAGTAGATTTAGAAGACTCCTTATTCCCCTTCGCCATTTCCAGGTTTCTCTCTACCTCCATCACTTTATAACCTTCCTCCTTTGAGGTTCACTCAATCTATATTTAGCTCCCCCCCCCCGGTAAAGATTCTGGTAGCTCTTATCCACTGCCCTCCAGGATACTGTCTTTCCTCAAAGAATTCAGTGCCTGGCTCTTGCAGTATTTTTCTCTTCCCCAACTCCAGCCCTCATAACCTTACCTATTGCCACTCCCTCAAACATCATCATTTCTGATTTCTCAACTTAATCATTTCCCATGCCTTACTCCTCCTCCCCACCTTAGCTCCGCATAGAGATGGTCATACCCCTGATCTTACCTTCCTTCAGTTTTCCTTCCACATTCCTGAACTCTGACATTCCCTTATTTGGTCAATGTGTTGTTATTCTACATCTGCATCTACCTTGAAACCCTGAACCCTAGTGTTCATGTTTGCTGTGAAACCAAATCCCTCCCCTCCTCAGATCTTTTTCTGTCCTCATTATACTTTTCCTCCTTTCCCTATGTTGATCCCTTGGCGATCAACTCTGTTGAGTTCTACTCTGCAGAGGCTTTTTGCCCCAAGTCCTTTGCCTCTTCATTCTACTGATGCTCAGCCTTAGCCTTGCATCACTTCTACCATCTGCCACTTTCACTTCTACTCACATGCGGCTAAACAAAAATAGGGAAAGTCACAAAACTGCAGACAGCATCCACCACAAATTTATATGACATAATCTTAGCTGGGCCCTCACTGTGGTAAGACCATTCTTTACACTCCACAAATTAACTCTCTACTCCTCACTGCAACTGCTCTTCCAAACCTTTTCATTCTTCCTGAAACCTCCCAGTTCTTCTCCTCCCCACTCCCACCCCCTTCTTTCTCAGCAGAGGACCTTGCCTCATATTTCACTTAAAAAATTGAGGTCATTTACATGGATGGGGTTCTCTTCTCTCCTTTCCATTTCTTATCACCTAGATGCCTTCTGCCACTTTCTCTTTCATCCCTGGTTCAAATGAAGATGTAGTCATTCTCTGTACCTGCAAGCCATCCCTTCCCTCCCATTGTCTCCAGCAGATTGCCCCCTCATTCCTACCCTCTCGTTTTCCTGAATCATCCTCCATCATCCTTCACCTCTCTGTAGCCTTTGACACTACTGATTGCCCTTTTCTCCTTGATAATCTCTCCTGTAGATTCTCACTACTCTCCTCTCTCCTGGTTCTCCTCCTCCTAAGTGTTGGTCCATTCCTTCATAGTCTCCTTTGCTGGATCTCCATCAGTGTCAGGGGTCAGCAGACTATGGCCTAAGAACTAAGAATTGTATTCATGCTTACCTCTGCCTGGGAAAACAGGCCTGAAGGCCAAATGTAAAAACCATTGTTAGTTCACCAGCCATACAAAATTAGGTTGCAGGCCTCATCTGATCTGTTGGCCTTGGTTTGCTGACCCCTAATTTAGGCCATATCCACTAACTGAATGTTTATCAAGATTCTGTTCTGGACATCTTTTTCTTCTTCCATACTATTTGGCTTAGTGGTATTATCAGCTCCCAGTGATTCCCAAATCTTTTTATCCAGCTCTAACCTCTTTTCTAAATTCAGTTCATGTATCTCCAGCTGCCTATTGGGCATCTTGAACTGGATGTTTTGTAGACATCTTAAACTCAACATGTCTAAAACTGATCATCTTTTCTCCTCCGAGCCTGTCCCTTCTTTCTGATTCTTCTGTTACTATGTAGGACAGTTACTTCTTCTTCCTCCTTTCACTTCTCACTGTTTTCTTGTTGGTATTCTCACTGGGCTTAGAGTCACAGTCTCTTTTAGTCACATTTTTGTACACTGTCTTTATGTCAGTCACCAGAAAAACAAATCTCTGTGTACAACTGACCATCAGTATGTTATTCGGCATTCAATCTTTTTCTCATTCAGAAGACAGGAGAAACTCAGGTTTGTGGGAGAGCGTCAGTTGTGTGATTCAGCAGTGCTGTCCAGTCAATAACATGATTGAATTCTAAATGAAAAGAGAGATGTTGATCTTGGGTGTGTGTGTGTGCTTGCTCTCAAAACCCCTCTTAATTCTAGTGACTTCCCAATCTCAAATTTTTCTTATTTATCCTGTATATGACTTATTTGTAAATATTTGTTTGCTTGTTGTCTCTCCCTTTAGATTGTGAGTTCCTTGAGGGTAGGGGCCTTTTTTTTTTGGTTGGCTTTTTGTATCCCCAGCACTAAGTACAGGGCACATAATAAGAGCTTAATTAAGTATTTACTGACTTAATGAGTGTTGGACTGGAGCAAGTACACATAAAAGAAATAGTACTGGAGGTGACACAATTTTAAAAGCACTAAGAAATCAATTTTTAAGATATTTGAGAGAAGAGAAGATAAATGGTTTGGTAAATAATGAGTACTATTATGATTTAAAAAATAAGTAATCAAGAGTGCATGAAAAATTGCTATATGATCATAGATCAGAGCATCATCATTTAGAGTCCAACCCCCTCATTTTATAGATGAGGAGGATGAGGCACGATGAGAGGTTAAGTGATGGAACCAGGGTCAAAAAGCTAATAAGTGTCCGAAGCAGAATTTGAACTCAGCTTTCCTTATCTTTAAATCTAGCACTTTACCCATGGACCACCTAGCTATGTCTATTCTCATTGTCATAACATTTTTAAGAGTGATCTACATATACATCAGGAGTATCTTTTATGAAAATATTTGCAAGAAACAAGTAAGCTTTCATAAAAAACATCTTCATAGTATATAACTGTCTAAATGCCATTATAGGAAATTATAGAACTATGTGGTTTGGGCCTACTTAAAATCCATGTTAACTAATATTAACTATTATCTGATATCACTGCTTTTCAAAAGTCATTTTATTCTTACATAATTGACTCTGTCATGCTACCATTAGTGGCTGTTCAGAACTTCTTTCTCCCCAGTCCATCGATACTATCCCCTTATAAGGGCATCTTAGCAGATGACAGCTTCTTAAACTTTAGAGGGAAAATTTGGACCGGTTTTTATGTGCTCCCTCATTTCCCCTATTTTGTACCTCAGAATCTTCCTACATCTTTATTGATCCTCTCATGCTTTGCTCTGCTTTATGAGGAAGATATAGGCATTCTTTTTTGCCACATCTTGTGGCCTCAAACCATCCCCTCCAGTCTCCTTTGAGAACGTGCCCCAGCCACCTCTTTTCTTTATCCTGTCTTTCCCCTCTTCCCACCCTGTTGACTACTCCTACGCTGCTTAGAAACATAGTGGATTTTCATACTCTTAGCAGCCCTGCATATGATGCTGTCCTTTCCCTCAAGCAGTCTTTCTCCTCTCTCTACTTAGCTTCCCCCCTACATCCCTGCCCTACCCCATCCCACCCATGCTAGGTGAACTGGGCTAATGAGAACAGTTTGTTCCAGTGGCTGTGAAGGTGGCTGAAGCTGGTGCTGTGGAATGCTTAGAGCAGGGGTGGGGAACCTGTGGCCTCAAAGTCACGTATGACTTAGAGCTTGGGTAGACATCAAAGACACCAAGGTTATCCACTGCATCCCAAGCCATCACAGAATTATCTTGACTTTAGCTTGTCACTGGACTTGGATGACTCTGGAAGAGAGAGTAAGACTGATGACTTGGAGCAACTCTGCTTCACTTAAGTCCAATTTATGCTTGAAACAAGACTCACCCATACCATTTTACCAGACACTAAGGTCCTTTCTTGAGCTAAATTCCCAGGCATTCAAATTCTGCTGCAGAGAGTGCATCTCTTGTGGGCTAGCTGTATTGTTTGAATGCCAAATGTATGTTTGCCAAAAAAACTATTTTACTAAGAACTTGCACAAGGCAGGTGCTTCCATGAAAGTCAGAAGAAGCAATACAAGGATCCTCTCAAAGTCTGAAGAACCTTGGAAGCAATTGTGTGATATGGGACATGCTGGCGAAGGGCCACCCAAAGTAGCTTGCGTGCATTGAAGAAGGTGCTGTGCGTGCTTCATGAGAAAAGCAGAATTGCAGTAGCTCAAAAGAAATGTGAAGTGTACGTATTTAGCAACATCTCCACTCCGGATGTTCATGTGGACTCTTTGTGCCCCACCTGTGGCAGAGCCTTCTGAGCTCCAGTTGGTCTGATGAGCCTCAGGTAGATACACTGTGCCTTGGCTCCACCATGGTGATGCCGTGGTGTTCCTCTTTGAGAAGGAGGACAACAAGCAACCACCTTGGCTCCCTGCTGCCCGGGCCCGTGTTCTTTCCGCTTCACTCAGGTTGTTTTCTGGGCTGAACATCTTTTCCCGCAGTCTGTATCCCAGCCAAAATGTATGACTAATTATTTCCTTACCTTGACATTCTCTCTTCTTCATGCACCTGTACAAGCTGTCCCTCATGTTTCAAATGTACCCATTTCTCATTTCCACTTCTCAAGGTCCTTACCTGCCTTTAAGGCACAATTCAGGAAGCATTTCTTTTATAAATCTTTCTTGATTTCCCCTATTTGTTATTGCTCTCTTTCTAATCTAAGCTTCTTGAAAACAGAAGACTGTTTAGTTTTTTGTCTTCATGTTGCTAGTATCAGCCAGACCAAACTGGTCTCTAATCTGTGGGTGGCAGAGCTGAACAGAGCAGACCAGAGACAGGAGAGTCAGGAATCAAGCAGAAGTTTAATTTTAAAATGAGGGAAATGGCTTGTAAGCAAGGATACATGTGTCGAGGCCCTGCCCCTAGTTGGGGGGACCCACTTTAGTGTGGCCAAATCTCAATACTTCTACCAGTGGCTGTGTAGTGAGCGATGGCCCTGACCTTGAGGGATAACAGCAACAGAGAGACTGTTTGATTCACGACTGGAACATGGGTACTGGCCTGAGCTTGTCTGGTGCTCCTCCCAGCTCAGAGAACACCTGGTACTGGTCAAAGCAATAGAATAATTGAGTGATTTTTGCCAGACAGTGAGACCATCCAGAGGGTGAGTGTGAAGGATTGTTGTTATGCCAAGTTCAATCTAGAAAACAAGGTGTCTCCTGGTGTCTCCTAATATCTTGACATTAGCGTCTAGGAGTGCACATTTTAGTCACTTAACAAATGTTTGATGACTGAAAGGTGTAGAAAATACATTATTCTATTGTGATTGTGTCAGTTTAAAAAAGGATTCAACTTGGAGAAAAATGCAGCCTAAAGAACATGCAAGATTCCTTGAAGCAGCCTATGTAATAACTTCAGTGATCCTCTATCAAGATTAAGTGAGGCATAAAATAGGGAAATGCATATTTGCCAGAGGTAATTGCCTCTGTCATGTTAAGATGTCTTTTGCAGACTCTTTAAGTAGAAGGATTCCTGTATAAAGTGAAGCCTTTCAGTTGTCTGCCAAGATACTATCTTGTTTGGATTACATCTTAGAGTGCTAGAGTGGCTTCCTTGATAAAATTCACGACTACTGCAGGGATTGGCCTATTCCATACAGAAAAAACCGAAATGGATTTGTGGTGAAGGCTCTCTGTTGAACAATAATAGCTAACATAAAAACATTAAGGGTTGTTTGCAAAATTCTTTACATTTGATCCTCACAACAAACTTGTGAGGTAGATGCCATTATTATTCCTATTTTTTAGATGAGAAAACTGAGGCTGAGAGTAAGTGATTAGCTTAGAATTACACAACTCTAAGTGTCTCATACAGGATTCAAACTCCAATCTTTCTGACTCTGGGTCCAGCAGTTTAGCCCCTGAGCTCTCTAGCTGCCTAGACCATGACCGACTGCTGAATGGGATGTCTAATGAAGTAGTCCACCTTGGATAGGCTTTGTAGAGAGATTTACAGGAATGGCTGGTGGGTCCTAAAATGCCTAAGAGAAAGAAGACTAGTTAAGTTACTGTTGGGAAGTTATTTTCACCGATCCTAAAGCTGCTCCTTAACAGAACTCATCTTTTGAACACCAGGATTTCTCACTGGCTGTGAATCATAGATAACTCAGCCTTTGTTAATCAGAGTGGGGAAAGGAGCCAAGGGCCAAAGGTGAAATGCCTTATTAGGCATAATTAGGCTACAGCCTATTTCCAACGGTGACTTGTATGTAAGGAAGGTATAAAAGATACCCTCCAGGAAGTGTGTGATTAGAGGAGAAGGTGGGCTGCTCATTTAGCAAGAGCTGGGATGGTAACAGATGGGCAGTGTGAGTGTAGTGCTGCTGTCCGGGGAATGTGGAAAGACCCAGAGTCAAGCCTGTCCCGTGTTGGTTACATCCTCTGTAGTGAGAGTCGCCCAGAATGAGAAGGGCTGTCTCAGGTGCAGTCTGTGGGCACCACTAGAAGGAGAAGAACCATTATTGATGAGAACACAGAGCCATGGAAGGATTGAAACATTCATGCCACAGTCTCAGAGCCGTGCTCCCATCTGTCCCTCTACATGCACTTATGTCCTACTAGTTCTCTTGTGCTCTGCATAGTTTCTGCTTCTGGTACTGAAGTTTTGGAAAGCTTGTTTGTTGGAGAATGTCTTCATTAGAAATGTTTTCTGTTGTAAGAGTAATCTGGTGTCTTTGACAGTGAGATTACTTTGTTTAATTGTCTCAATAAAGATAGTTCATTTTTGCCTTCCACACACATCATTTAGTTATTTAATGAACATTTATTTATTGAATTTCTTATTGTGAGGATCTTTAGGAGATGCAAAGAAGAACAAGCCCATAATCTGCCCTCATAGAACTTGGAGTTCTGTGACATGTAAATTTTATTTTAGGACAATTTATAGTAATATAACTAAATTTATTTTTGTGGGAAAATGAGTCAAAAGACAGCTTATTCAGGAGAAAGGATGTAATCAGTGCTAGAGTTCCTACTCTTTTTGTATCCTTTATCTTTCCCAACATACCATCCTAATTTTGTTTTTGTTTTAGTATATGGAACATGGGCCTGATGTTATATTACCTCATAAATTGAAAATGAGAACTAGGTTTGGTTATGAGAAGTGCTATACAACCTTTTTTTTCCCCCAGTAAGTAAAACTCATATTTCCAGAAGTGTCTTCTGGATAATGAACTAAAACCTATTTACCTGTTTTATCTGATGGTCTCTTGTTACAAAAGAATTTCACAGACATTGAATGGAAGGGACTTGTGAGAAAGAGTTAGTATTAAATCAGTCTTAATATTCAATTATTTATCATTTGTGTCCTTATTTCTTCTAATAAGATTTTTACTGATTCAAATTAGATATTTTATGAGGGTTTTTTTTTTTGGTACTTTATGAAGTGAGGTGACTAGGGAAAGGTACATCTATCTTGAAATTGAATAGTGTAGTTGAATTTGCCTTGGAAAAAAAAGACTGGGTTTTATGAATTTGAATGATAAGGCACTGACAGGAGGTCTTTAACATTTTTTTCTCTGTAACAGATGTCTTGGCCTGCAGTGACTCCAAATCCCATAATCCTTCCAATTTTCCCCTCTACTAAATAAGTTTCAAAAAAGTGACATTTTTATCACAAGTGATTGACTTAATTCATGCAAACATTGCAGCTGAGTAAAGAATATATATCCCAGTGAGAAGTACATTAGTATAAAATAAGATGTTAGTTTTTCAATACCTTATTTTAACTTCTACTACATGTTATAGGATGCTCATATATCTGAGTCCAAAATAATAATACGTTTCTGTCAGAGGTTACCTTCAGTGTTGAAAGGCTACAAGCTGTTCTGCTAAATAACCACAAGTTGATATGCTTTTCTTTAGCAATAATCAAAATTATTCTTGATGATTACTATATTACAAATAACTAATGTTCTTTGGTATATGGGCATATAAGTACCCATATGTACCTTTTATTGTCTTTTAGAGACATTTGCAGAAACTTATGGACTTCTAAAGATAATTTCAAAATTAGAAATAAGAATTAGTAACATGTATTACATATTGTAATGTGATTTTTAATATTCATAAAGAATTTAAGCATTGCCCCAGTCTGTTATCTAAATAGCTTTTTTTGGGGTCGGTAGTACACATCTCCTGCTTTTATTTAGGAAATGTAGCAGTATGTGTGTGTGTGTGCGTGTGCGTGTGCGTGTGTGTGTGTGCGTGCGCGTGTATGTGCATGTGCATGCATGCATAGGCACACACATACTTGTGCACGCATGTGTATGCATGTGACAGGATGAGCACTGTGGTTCTTAGGTAGTGGGCATGGCCTTTGAGTTGAGGAGGAGACCTGGGTTCAAGTCCCACATTTTATACTTACTGGCTAGGTGAACAGACAACTCTGTAAGATTACAGAAGCAATGAGTTGCTGTTCCATTTTTTTTTGGAGGGAGTTTTCACATTGGATATTCCCTAACCTGATGAAATCTTTGGTCTGAGACCATCCGCTTCCTCCCTTTCCCACCCCTTGCACTCTCAAAAAAAGAATGTCTGCATGACTAACTAATGGTTGGAGAATGAGGCTTTCATTTTCATCTTGTCAACTTTTATACAAAGAAATAGGTCAGAGCAAGGAAATGTCTCCCCTGTATCTAGCTAGATCTCTTTCTGGGTTTATGCAGTTAGATTAGTTGGTCTCAAGAGAAGATGACAGTGTGGAATTGAACCAGTTCATCAAGGGTCAAGATGGTGAAGAGAGGAGAGTGTAGCTAGTGCATGGGCTGAGAGCCTTGGGAAGAACTGAGGAAACAGTTGAGGGATTGGAAGTTAGTGTGCGGATAAAGAGCTAGGTTTGGGGTTGTAAGGCACAAGCAGAAGTGGAATGGCCGTAGATTGTGATCATTTTTTTCATGCTCATATCTTGTTCACATGTTATTTTGATAACATGAATTTTACCTAGATCTTAATTTAGTAACCTGTAATGCCCATTTTGAAAGATTGATAAAAGTATCAAGATGAAAGTATTTCACTTTGCCAAAACAGAGATTGTCTGGAAGGAAAAATCAAATCTTTATATTTTTTGGTGTTCATTCATTTAATTATACAACTTCACCCGGGTTGAAAGTTAGAAAGTTTCAAAAATATTTGAGAAATGAGGAGCATTTAAAAATAAGGTTTGGGACAGCTAGGTGGCATGCAGTGGATTAAGGGTTAGCCCTGAATTCTGGAGGGCCTGAGTTCAAATATGGCCTCAGACACTTATTAGCTGTGTGACTCTGGGCCTGTCACTTAACCCCTGATTGCCTCAGTGGCGGGGGGGGGGGGGACTGGACGACAAGGTTTATTTGGGTATAAAGACAGTTTTGAAGAACAGTGTGGGAGTATTTGGACAGTATTATAAAATAATCAACTTTAAGAGGCAGGAACAAAAGTAGATACCTGAAGTTACTTTTGTTTCTTTCAGCCAGCAAAATAAACCTGAATTAAAGACTCAGTCTTGGGCAGCTAGGTGGTGCAGTAGATAGAGCACCAGCCCTGAAGTCAGGAGGACCTGAGTTCAAATGTGGCCTCACATCAAACACTTGACACTAGCTGTGTGACCCTGGGCAAGTCACTTAATCCCAATTGCCTAAAACCAAAAAATTTTTTTAAAAGACTCAGTCTTCACCTTCATAGCTTTCTAATACATTTTTCTTTCTAAATTCTTTACTTCAGCATGTGTTTATTAAGGGGTTACTCTTTGCCAAACTATCCTAGGCTCTTAGGAATACAAAGACAAAAATAAACCACTCTGTCCTCAGAGAGCTTACATTTTTTGGTGGAACAGGCCATGGGGACTTAGGAGCAGCAAGTTAGGGTTACTCACTGCATTAATTTGTATGAGGATTCTTACTATAAGTCCTAGGAATTTTGAAATGAGAGAGGAGACACAGTTAATTTGTCTTACATATTTCAGTTCCTACTTTGGGCAGCAAAGACTTTTCCAAATGAGTGATTATGTTGTAATTCATTGTCTGTGCTAGGGAAGGGAAAAAGAGAAAACCCAAGTACAAGACCTATCTAAAAAATGAAAAGATTTAAACTATCTTTGCGAGGGCTTGAAACAGGAGGTGGGATGCTCTGGCCCTCTAAATCTGTATTTTTGTTTAGGAAAGGTCCCATTTCTTAGGTGTGTTAGTGGTGCTCTCTTTTCAAGGTGTTTGTTATCTGTTACAAATACTTTCATGTTTGTACTTTGGGATCTTTGAGAATAGTACTTGACTGAAGTAGAAAAGAATATGGGACTGAGATGTTCCCCAGACTTCTTGAGTTGGGCTAACAAAAGGGGAGAATTAGGATCTTGTTTTTGAATTCAGGTGCTGTGGAATTTGGGTTCATGTGTACACTTATCTGTGAAGTTATAATTGGAAAAATAGGTTTTAGAGGGGAAAGCAAAAGAAAATGAGAAACTACTAAAACTACATTACTATACAGGTAGTATATCATTAATATGAGTGTGCATCTTCCCAGGGAGTTCTTCCTTTTAAATTTCCTGGCCATTGCCAGATGGATAGCTGTGAGGTGCTCCCTCCTCAGGATCACAGAAAGGCCTTTGAGAGTGATGATTGAGTTTCCCCCCTGGAATTCTATCTATGAATGCTTATTCACATTCTTTGGGGAGAGGAGGAGCCAATAAACTTCAATACTCAGAGATCGTAACGTGAAGAAAAAGCCCCCAACATTAATATTTCTGTATATGAATGTATGTATCAATGATACATTTTCTAGCAAGCAGTCACTTCATTTATATTCCCCTAAGGAATGATGGATTTTGTAGGTACAAAATTCGAAGTAGACATATCCTGTATATTAAGAAAGTTAGAGAGGCTATGATCCCAATCCAGACACTGTAAAATGAATTGTAGCAGTCAGAATTAATGGGTCCTAAAACAGTGATTAGACAAATAAAAGGAGAACCAAGAAAAAGTACTGTCAAAAAGTTAGGAAGGAGAGAACATCTGAGAGGAGAGGTTAACCTTGCCATATGGTTTTTTTTTTAATTTTTATTTAAATAATTTATTTTTTACTTTTAGGCAGTTGGTGTTAAGTGACTTTCCCAGGGTCACACAGCTAGTAAGTGTCAAGTGCTTGGTCTGAGGCTGGATTTGAACTCAGGTCCTCCTGGCTTCAGGGCTGGTGCTCTATCCACTGCGCCACCTAGCTGCCCCACATTGCCATGTGTTATGGAGAAGTCAAGAAGGAGGAAGGTAACAAAAAGACTCTGGATTTGACAATTTGACAATGACCCCTTGGTCATTGGCAACCTTGAAGAGTGCAGTTTGAGGTGAGTGATGAGATTGGAAGATAAATTGAAGATAAAAAGCGAGGGGCAGTGGATAGGTGGTACAGTGGATAGAGCACTGAGCCAGAAGTCATGAAGACTCCCCTTCCTGAGTTCAAATCTGGCCTCAGACAC